GAGTATTCCGAGCCATGGTCCGCGTTGAACCGAACGAAGAGCCCTGTGGTAGTGTCTTTGCTCAAGCCACATGTGGCTGAACAGCCTCTCCCGATCAGGAAACCTCTCACCAAAACCTCCACTTCTGTCATCGTGACAACGGTCGTGTCAGCAACTGTTTGCCGGACCAAATCATCAAACTGCGGGTTCACCGCGTTCTGACACCAGTGGCAGTGTTGGAACTGTAAAAACTTAAAGTTTCCTTTGTATGCAACATAAGACTATGTGGTTGTAGGGATGAGGTCACGGTCGGCCTCAGTAGCAGGCGCAAGAGACAGGGCCGTACGGGCTGTCTCAAACGAGGAGGAGGGGTTGGAGTCGAACCGAACGGGGGACGACATCCTCGAAGGGGGGGGGAGAATCCATGGAGGAGGAGGCTGTCGAAGACACCATCCTCGCCCAAACTATACTCAGTGATTACCGGGACCAGGCCACGGATATCTCACACTGAAGTATCTTCTAAGCGAGAACAACATCTTCTAACCGACCACCCGAAACGAAAAACACGAACAAGTAACAGCAGATGAAGTATTTACCGCGAGCGTAATAAGGTAAAGTATTGGTTATGCTCACTTCCGACACGGGGTGCAAGAAGTAGGAAAAGTACTTAGAACAAAGCGTGAAGAATGTATCGGCCTCATCAGCCTCCTTATATAGTATCCTTCCTGTCCATAGTCATGTGACCCAAAGTGGTCACATGTGCGAAACCAAATCATCACAAACTAATCATGTGACCAAAGTGATCACATGTTCAAAACCTATGACCTCATAGCGAGGTCATGTATGAAAACTCATAAACCAATCATAACACAATAAATAAGTCATATGACTCGACTGAGTCATATGCGCAAAACCCATGTCCTCATAACGAGGTCATGGGCGCAATGTAAATCATATGCGTAAGGCTTACCCGCAAGGCACACTTGCAAGGCATACTCATCAGGCGCACATCCCATGACTCATATTTGAGCCATGTGCGAAAGCATCACAAATCCCACACATAACAAATCATATGACCCGAATGAGTCATATGTGTAAAACAATAGCATACCTGTGACTCATTACCATGTGTCACGTGAACTCCTCTTTCATGCCAAGCCACGTTCGTGACAGTCACTCACCTAGTCTATAGTTTAAAATGCCAGCCAATACATATGAGCATGCATCTTATAAAAAAAAATGCTATGTCAAGGCACTGCGCTTTTCAGCAGGCTGGACCTCTCGAAGAATTGTAGAGGACCAAGGCCTATCACCAAGTACCGTATATGAGATATGCAATGCTCCTGCAATACTAAAGAAGTGGGGACATCGGCATTTCTCAATTGATACCCCTATCCAACGTTGGCTTGTCGCCACAGCGACAAGTAGTGCTGCACATCGCACGATGCCTCTTCAGGAGGTTGCCGCTGCCTGTGGTGTGCATACATGTGAAAAGACACTCTGAAAAACCTTCAAGATGGAAGGTTACTCCCGGCGAATCACTCGTAAAAAGCTATTTCTCGACGCACACCAGAGCCAACTACGACTCAATTTTGCTCTCACCCACTGGGGATGGAGGTAGCAGGATTGACCCCAGATGATCTGGATGGATGAGTGCTATGCCTGGCTGACTGGCACTTGAAGCCGTGCCTGGGTCACTCGGCACCCTGGGAAGGAGTACCAAGACAATTGCTTGGTCCCCAAGTTCGCAAAAAAAAACTCTGTGATGGTTTGGGGGGATCTTGGGAGGCAAGAAAATGCCTCTTGTGCTATGGGACAAGGAGAAATGGGGGAATATAACTTCTGAGAGTTATATTCAGAATGTTTTTGTCCCAGTTCTCATGCCCTTCTGGTATCAGGAGAGCATGGCAGCAGGACAGCACTTATGGCTGATGGAGGATGGTGCTTCTGCCTATCGGGCATACAATACCTGGCGTGTTCAGGAAGACTATGGAATTCCTAAATTCTAGTAGCCTCCCTGCTCACCGGACCTCAATTCGATTGAGAATGTTTGGAATATCCTTAAGGATATGCTAAACAAGAGGTCACCCCAGCCTACTACTCTACTGGGTATGCGGGAGGCCATTCAGGAGGAATGGCAGAAGATCTCTGAAGTTGATCTTTTGTCATTTGTTAATTCTATGCCTGAAAGGATCGAAGCTGTTATAGCAGCTGGTGGAGGTCATTCACGGTGGTGAATTTTTTTAATTTTTCGTTTTTAGTTTTTAATTCTTAATTCTTAATTCTTAATTCTTAATTCTTAATTCTTAATTCTTAATTCTTAATTCTTAATTCTTAATTCTTAATTCTTAATTCTTAATTCTTAATTCTTAATTCTTAATTCTTAATTCTTAATTCTTAATTCTTAATTCTTAATTCTTAATTCTTAATTCTTAATTCTTAATTCTTAATTTTAATTTTAATTTCTAATTTTTAATCTTTAACTATCGTGGTTTTCTTTCAATCTGTATATCTGCAAGCAACTTCTATTGGATTCAATACACACTTTCCACTACTTCAACTTCAGCCCTTTAGCCAAATGCGCAATGTCAGACTGTGTGCCGAACCCCTGTCAGGCCCCTGCTCACCCCCCCCCCGTTTTACACCCCTGTGTTCGGGTTCAATATGCATGGGACGTGTACATTACAGTACAAATATAAATGAGACTTCAGTTAGGATACAGGTACAGTACTCGCGGGTTGGGATAAGGACGATGCCAGTACAATACCTGTACGATAGGATCGCATGCTAACCTATATCCCTTTATCCTTAGTTTACGGTGGCGCACGCATTCTTGATGAAGCTTTCGCGATGGGACTTAACTGACTCCTTGCCCATGAATTATACAAGAGGTTAGTTATTGGTGTAATGACGGGAAGGGATTTGGGTGTTGCTTTCGAAATGTTTCTCCGCAGCAAGCAGCCTTTGACAAAAAAAGCGGAAAGTAGGCGATTTGCAATAATGTTTGTCGATGTTTGTTAGGAAGGTTGGTGCTTGTGCGAGTCCCGGACCCCAGTAGGTTCTCGGAGAGTACGGCGTTAGTACTCGTAGTGTGGTGGTTTACTCGGACACGATAGTAGGAGCTCTGGTAGGTTTGGCTTAAAGTGTTCGAAGCGGAGCTGGGTGCCGTATGGTGAGCTCCTGTGGTAGAATACTCGAGAAAATGAATGTCGATCTGGAAGTTATATAATTTTATGATTTTTCTGTGCTCCCATGATTAAGTTAGACTATCCATTAGCATAGTACAGATAATGAGAGTACTATTCCGTGCCATGCTGTACCAGGCTCTCTTGGTTGATGATAATCAATCCTCACTTCATCTCACGGACCTCTCTCTCTATTTTTATATTTTTTCGGCGATATCATGCTTGTATTCGTGCCCGAGTATGAAATACTCAAGTCGTCGGGCTGAAGTTGCGTTCCTCCTGGTGGCAACTCACCAAAACCCCCCCCCCAAAAAAAAAGGAGCCCCAGCAACTTCAAAAGGAGACTTGAGTACCGGCACTTGTACGAGCACTCCGGCGCGAAGTTTAACGGGATGGCTATCGCAGGATTGGGTCAAAAAATAGCCGTTTCAGATGTCCTCTTGTTCATCCCTTTAACATTCATCACGGAAAATTGTCAGCGCCCACGGGCGGTTTCGCAAGTGTGATTGGGTATGATTTGGGGTATGATTTGTAATCGCAAGAGCAGGCTACCAATTTGGGACTTGCCGGCAGCCCGGTTGTGTGGTCAGGAACCGTACTGTAGTCTACAGCATGATGATATTGTGAGGTAGGCTCGAGCTTGGCACACAACCCAAGCACTGTACTCGTACAGTACCCCTCTCAAACAGGGAAAAGGGGAGGGGGTGGGAGGTTTTACCAAGTTCACCCAATAGGGAGAGAGGCACCCTTCGTTGCCGGGAAGCAAAATCCTCGGATCTCGTGCGAGAGGAGGGCGCAGGGAAAGGGTACAGGGAAAAGCAAAGGATGAATACCGGTGTTGAAAGCAAAAAGGAAAAGAAAAAAAAAAAAAAAGACCCTCAGTGATGGTAGACATACGAGTAGACTACACACTGTGTGATACGAAAGTAGGACCGTAGAGAGAGATCAGAAGAGAAGGCATCGCAATGTGCAGTCCTCGAGTGCCGGTACTGTACGGTACTCGAGTACCGGTATCATACTCAACTATGATGGAAGCAGGCTGCTGGGCATCCGGTAGGCTGAATGGAGAGTGGATACAGGTAAATGGATGGACAAGGGGTGGTGGCCATCTCATGCAGGTTCAAATGCAGGCAGGCTCTGAAGGGAGGAAGGGAAACGGGCAGCGGGCAAAAAAGAAACTCTCGGATCCGCGCTCCCTGACCCATGCGTCCCTCTCCAGACTGCAGAATACATCCTGCGCGGTGGTGGGCACCACCCATTCATCCGTCTACCCACTCTAATTTTCATTATGATGAGGCAAAAGCAAGGGGGAAGAAAAAAAAAAAGAAAGGAAAGGAAAAAGGCAGAGGCTTGAGAGAACGAAGATGATGAATAGGAAGGGGGGGGGAGGGCTTCTCTTTCTCGTTCCCTGATCGTTCGGTGTCGCGGCATAGGAAGCAGGGCAAGATACATTAGCCAGTATCATATTGTAGCTCTGCAATTAAAGTACCGGTACAAGAATGAAGTGATAATAACATTAACGTATCATAACCTGCCTTGGATCCTTCGTCCAGTATTGATGCTCTAACCACGTGTGCTCAGCCCATTGTCCACTAAACTACAGCATCTCTAGTTCCTCTCTAGTGCCCTGGTGCGGTACCGGTTCTGGTCTTGTTCACTTCCAGAGGCCTAGCAGTGCGCGCGAAACCCGGTGGTGATTCAGGGTCACGAGTGTTCAACACCACCCTCCACTGATCCTCTCGGGCTCACCCACACCTAGCAATCCTTTTACTTCCCTCCTTCTTTCCCTTTCTCTCCTCCCCTCCCCTCCACCCGCCCGCGTCTGTCTTTCCTTCACTACCCGTTGCGATTCTTCCTCCCCATTCTTGTCTGGCCGCCAGGGACGCTTGTTTACCTTCAGCGTTTCCGGCTTTTGTCGACCCTTCGACCTCCAACTAACCACTATCCTTTCTCATTCCTTCAGTTGCTTGTTTTACGATATCTTCATATATTTCCTGTTCTTCCTTAGCAAACCTGCCTGGCTAGGCTTGACCTACTTTTCCTTGCTTCGACGCTTGAGCAATTCCGAATTTCGCTTTTTCATTAACGATGCCTCAATCACTCCGCAACCAGCCTTCCTTCAATCGTCCAAGGACTTCTGACCGTCCTGGTACCCGGGATGCGAATGATAATCCTCTACCTATCCCTAGCAGGACCTCGTCTTTGCATAGTCGGATCACACAACCAATTCCTTCGACCTTGAACATCAAGATGCAACAGAGGACTCCAAAGACCCTCACACATGCTTATCTTGTTTGTGGAGTGGGTCGAGAGCCTTCTCAATGGGTCAAAGCTCCACCTCCAGCTCAAGGGAAAATCACCCATATTAAGGGTGCTGTCAACCAATTCTGGCTTCCAGAGATTCTTGGAAGTAGTCCTCGGTTGGAACAGGATAACGATATTGCCCGTGCTCTTCACGCGGCTATGCGGGTAAGATTCACGAGAGAAACGCGAACAAATCATTGTTTCAAAGCATTTTGACTAACATTCTTGTGCTAGGCTTGCTTCCCTCATGATGTGGAGATCTGCACTGGGCGTACGCAACCACACTGTGTGCACCATACATTTGTTTTGCAACAGGATTCATCCCAAACACTTTATGGAATCGCGCTTCGGGTTTGGTCCAGGGCAGATGAGAAGCGTGCAGAGACAATTCGTGATCTCCGGAAGAGGAATGAGCCCGACTACTACGACACTCCCGACGAGACCTATTGGATTCCTTATGCTTTGAGTTTCTTATCTAGGTATCCATTGTTCAATCTTCTCGGAGACTATTTACGGGGAATGTGGATTCATTGGAACAAGGCTACTAATCTGTTCCACGCCGAGTAAGTTGTTGTTATAACTATTCTATTATAGACCCACATCCTGACGGCAGCATGCAGGGAGGTTTCGCGAATCTTGAGTTTTCCCGCACCTCGTCTTAACGATCTGGTCCGAATTGATATGAAGGATTATGCTCTCTGTTATCAATTCCCTTCCTCGCCAACTGGGTTTCAAAATGTAAGGGTCTTTCCATTCATTTTTAAAGATGAAATCAGAGTTAAATAAATGCAATAGTTTTCAATGTGGCCTCTTTTCAGCTGTTTGTCAATTCCCAATATTATTGGTGTAATTGGGGCTGCACTTTCGCCAACGCGCCGTGTGATTTTTGTTAGTCACTACCCAGCGATGCTTACTGTCGCAGCAGAGACCATTCGTTTTTGCGTTCGGGTTTATGAGTGGAGTGGGTTATATGTTCCGGTTGTCCATGCACGCCATGCGAAGGCCTTGGTTACTGAGCCCGGTCCATATATCCTTGGATTCACTGCCGAGTGTCGAAGCCTTTTCACGGCCCCAAGTGACGTAAGTGTTAATATTGCTTTGATTGTCTGAGAGTGTTCTAAAGCAAATGCAGGCTCTTGTTGTAGATTTGGACAGAAATTTTGTTATGACATCCTCTCCACCAACAGTTCTTTCTACTGGACAGCGCAATAAGCTTATTACGCGCTTGACACAAGCCCTTCGTGGTGAGGTTGCGATTAGTGGCGTACCAACCCATCTTCGATCTGCATATGCAGGAGGTAAGCTTGTGCCTGCTGGTCAAATCATTGTAATGCGTGGAGAAGTGGAAAGCATTCAAGATCCGGAATGGTGGGACCAGGACGGCGTTATGTCTGTTCTTGATCATGTATGTGAGAAAATGGGACGCAACACTGGCATTAAGGCTATTTTTGGAGGGTCCGTAAAGAAGCCCCTGATGACCAAGGTTTCAATGCGTCATCTTAATGAAATTGTCCGGGAGAGGAACCAATATTCTCGTGATGCCATGGAGGCATGGCAAGATTTCATCAATCTCAAGGGGCGTATGGATACCGAGCTCCAGAAGGTCACTAAGAGAAATAACTTCTTACTGGAGGAAGTTGAGAGCTGGAAGCAACAAGTATACATTCTCAATTTCTCCTTCTGTATACCTTGCTGACACACAATAGTTTGAGAAATTCCAAGCGTTCGCGGCACAGCTCACGAAGGAAGCTCAAGAACTCAAAGCCAAAATCGAGACGCATAAGAAAGAGAACCGTAGGCTTATGAACCTCATTGATCAACAAAAGGCCGATTCTGCTAGTCTCACAATGCGTTTGGCCGGAACTGAGAAGCAACGTGACGATGCCCTCGAGGCCCTGGTCATGCAACAGGAAATTGCCGAAGAGTTGGAGCGTGAGAGGAAGCGGAACAAGAAACATCTATCTGCCTTACAAGAGACCAATGAGACCATCCTTCGACAGCGGGATGAGGCTCAGCGTGTAGTCATTCACCTGCGCGCTCTTATCGACGGTCAAGCTCATCATATGGAGCATATTGTGCGCTCGCTCAACGATGTACCAGAGGTTCAAGGATATATTGAAGAAGGTTATCCCTCGGAGGATGATGTTGATAGGGGTCAGGCAACAGTAAGGCCCACCCCACTAGCTTCCAGGCGTTCTTCTCGCGCGTCTTCTAGGGCCGCATCCCGCGCAAGTACGGTTGATGGCAGAGGATTGGATGTCGAGGATGTGAATCCCGACATGGAGAGGCGTTTCTTTAATAGTCCATTGTCCATGAAACGATTTTCTCAGAATAGCGTCGCTGATGTTGCGGATCGTCATTTGCGTGACAAGACTGATGCGATTGCGGACATCATCCGCAACATTTCGGAGCAGTGCGCTGCCGCCGTCGAAGGCCTTCACCTAGCTCAAGTTGCAGCCCACGAGCCGCCTAATTCGGATTCTGAGGAGGAGGAGGAGGAAGAGGAGGAAGAGGACAACAGGGAATCAACATCGGGTACCCATGAACGAGAAATTCATGACGATGCTAGCCTCCTCAGTCCCAACGACGCACTGTCATCCATACCCCCTACTCCTGACCTCGTCCATCATCGCTCTTCGACTGCCATGTCGATGGCATCTACACAGTCTCCCGAGCGTCTATCAATACAATACCAAGATATCGACGTTCCCACCAAAATTGCGGAGGCGGACGACACTGGGCTAAGTGGTGATGATGGTGTGTCTCACCATATCTCACTCGACGGTCCTCAAAAGGAAAACGCCATCAAGAACACTGAAGGTATCATTAATCGCGCCGGGGCCAGAGTTTCGGCTTTCGGCACGGGATAGATTGGTGCTTTTACGACATGCTCAGAGTAGCGAAGTATAAGTAGATTGCGACTTTATCATGTCTGCAGTGTAAATTAAGGGGCTTACGCTTTTTCATTGATTCTTCTTTTGTCCAAGCATTTTTCAACATTTTTCTTGTCGGTGATATGGGTTCTTGGGTGGGATTTGCTTGTATGGTTCGGTCTAGGGATTGACAAATGATGGTGGTCGAGAGAAGTTTTATGATGGCTGTCTTTGTTTCCATCTTTTTTTTTCCTCTTAACATTTCTCACTTCACTTGTGTTTCTTATGCTCATATATATACCCTTTCCCCTTTGTAATTTGTGTCTTGAACTTATAAACCTTTTTTCTCTTTTCCCGCCTTGATCTATCTCTCCTAAAACATACGAGATCTTCAGCTTTCGTTTCTTTAGCCGTGAAAGCCCTCCGCCCTTCCCCTCTTTCCTTCATCTACCCATCTATCACACCTGTTCATGTGCAGTAGACCCGTTGGAACTGTCAAGTTAGATTGTGAGGTCATCATATCTTTCCTCCTTTTCTTTCTTTCTTTTTTTCATTTGCATGCCGACGTAAAAGCCCTTCTTCCAGTTTCTTATATTTATCCATCCACCCAACTACTGGTATCCTCGACCATCCGTCTACTTCTCTATATACACTTTTTTCTCTGTTGTATCATGCGTATCTGGCGTACTGTGCTGTACTGTACTGTAGCATGGTAAAAAAATCCCAATATGATAATGTCGAGGTTTGGGCTTGCATTCCTTAGTATCTATCTACTGCATGTGACGATGGTGAGCGATGGTGGGAACGCGGGGTCTGCAGTATCAGTCCGAGGGAGGTCACCGGTACCGGTATTCTACAAGCATCACAACCAGATCAGGCTAACCTGATTGGCTCTTTTTCCCCCCTTGATTTGCAGGGCGGTGTGATACTTGTACTGGTATGATAGCTGCTGGAACAAACCCGGCTGGCCACATGTCTTGGGGCTTGTTTGGCTCACAGTGATTTGCGATTGCGATTTGAAAACTGACAAATAGCGCGTCCTGAATTCTGCTTACATAATCCCCTCTCCGTGCAGTGTGATTGATCAGTTTTCAAATCGCAATCGCAAATCATGATTCCAGATGGCGAACGGTTCAAATCATGGTGAGCCAAACACGCCTTACCAAGGGTAGCTCACTATCACAGGTGAGAGAGTGTGTGAGGAGGGGGTGGGGGTGGGGGAGTGAAAGGGGAAGAGTGGTGCACTCGAGTAAGGGGGAAAGGTGAAAGGTTACGAGTATTCGTACTCGTAGGAAGGAGTCGCGGTAGCGAGAGTGTGTTTGACAAGCAAAAAGTATGTGTGGTCTACTCGAGTATAAATATGCCGGCATGTTCGTAAGAAACATGGCAAGAGGGAACGAAAAAAACAGAAGCTCGGGGGAAGACTACGGTATGCAAATTTGTGAAACCGCTTGTGATCTACAGTACCAGAATATGGGTACAAGTACTTTTTGCACGAGGGAGATGCCTGGGATACATGGGGCCGAGAGTGAGCGGGTTGATGGGCGGTAGAGTAGGGTAGGTAGGTATCGTAGCTCAAGGTATGATACCTTCCGCCCCAGTATTATGCTCGCACGCATCATACTGTATATATCGCGAAGAACATTCATCTTTTAGGAGGGAGTTTATAGTTATTCTAGTTATCGAGTAAATACAATCATATTATGGGGGAGCTCGAGAAAAACCATATTAATTAGGGAAACGGCACCTTACCTGCTTTGGTCAGGTCAGGTCCACACACCACCCCCTTTTTTTCCCCCTTTCTCTCCTTTGTCGCTTGTTTTATTTTCCTGCCCAGTGCGGCGCGAGGAGTAGTGTGGATGATAACCGAGTGCGGGTGATCGGGCGATGACTAGACTGGGTTCGGCCTAGTCCTTTTTTACTGGATCAGACTTTACCAGTTGCTGACTCGTTTGGACTGGTTGTGCTTTATTCCTTTTTCCTTTTCCTTTTTTTCCCTCTGGACCATTCCACTGACGGCTCACTCCCACTCGCACTAACCACTAACTTCAACCATCATCCTCCCAGCTTCCTGCCTCCTTTCTATTCCACTGCCCCCCCCCTTTTTTTCCTTCTTCTTCTTTTCTTTCCCGGGTTTGTTGTTATCGTTGTGAAGCTCTTTTGGTTCCTGCTGTTTGCAAGAGCTCATCTGAAAGTCTCTGGTTCTGATGGTTTAGACCCCATCGGGTTTGCACGGGGTCTGCGGTCGTGTGGAGTTGTGGTTCAGGAAGTTCTGATGATATGATACTCGAGCACTCGTACTTTTGCCTCATGCATGCATGCAGTCATCTCCACGGCGGTTTACCGGTAAAAATTACAATGTGAGTTTTGAGTTTACTCCGCAAATAATATTAGGCGACAGCTCCGGCGGCGGGACTGTGGTCTGAGTGGTGCTCGTACTGCACGAGTACGGTACGAGTACTTGTACGTACTTGTACTTTAGTGTACGAGACTGCACCGCACTCGGTACCGTATCCGTAGACATGGGATCTCGTCCTGCTGGCCGAGTTGTTACTGTATATTATACTTTTGTTTGAGACTTGTTCTCTTTTAGCTACGAAGGAAAGAATGAAGGATGAAGGATGAAGGAAGGAAGGGATGGCGAAAGAGGGGAAAGTTGAGAAAAGTCCTGTCTTGTCATCTCCCTTTTCCTTTTCCGGGTTCTTTCCCTTCTTTTTCCTTCTCCTTTTCCTTTCACTCTTCCTCCCTCCTTCGCCTTTTGTCATGTCATAAGCTAGTTTTCCATTCCCCCTCCCTGTCGGGTCTCCCTCTTCTGGGTGTCGGTCGCGCTCTTCGTGAAAAGTAGGCAACCTCCGTACAGTAGTCCGCAGCTGGTCCCTTCCTTCCTTTTTTTCTTCTCCCTTCTTCCTGGGCTGGCTGCTCGTTTGTGTGACATTCTGTGGTTGATTGGATGGTCGCTGGAGACATGATATCTCTTTGCACTCCCCCTGCTTGTGCGCCTACCTACAGTACGAGTACAGTACCGGTACTCTAGTATCATACTCGAGTACCTGAGCCCACGTCGGTACACACATCCACGCATACTTGTACATATATCTACTCGTATATCCTACATATTTTCAGACCCCCAAACAAACGCTCCCAGTGATTGTTCTGTAAGGTGCCCTGTGTAATCAAATCATACTCGTATGATCCGCCTTATTCTCTCTCATCTTTTTCGCTGCTGGCCACACACAGCACTCGAGCAGAGTGTGCGAGTACCATACATCCCAAAACTTCATTGATCCTTGGAGTGAGAAATTGGGCGAAGGCTTGTATACAATAATAATACTTGTATGGGGTTGGCTTTTGATAGTGCGCAATATCTGTTGCTTGCATTGCGCTCGTCAATCTTCTGTGACCTTGGGCGACCGCAAATTCTATCCACATCTGTGGAGTGTGTGGTGCATCCGTGGAAGCTGGGTTTAAGGAGGGAGAAGGCGTAGGGCCTGGTCTTTAAACACTTCTCTACCTGAGCTAGGTCCAGGACCTCCTTTCCCTGACCTTCCACAGTCAGTATCATACTTCTTGGAGTCTCTCCCTCCACGGGCACGGGCTGCAACTTTCCTCTCAACTTTTTAGTTTTTCAGGGTCTCACCCAGACTAACACATCCCTCCTTTACCTTACAAGTAGGCCACTGTCAAAGCCAGAACTCCCTGCCCTGCTATCAAACCGTCTTGCACCCTTCTTCAACCCCCCTTCCCTTTCTCTCCCTTCTCTCGCTGCCCGCCTGCTGCTATAAATTTTTTTATTAAAATTTCTTTTTCTTTAATTTTACTTTTCTCTTCTCATTCCATACAATCACCGACCTTACCACCAACTATCCGGTGTGCCTTGCTCTCTCTCGCTTTCTTCTTGCCAGCTACTACTGGGTGAACATAGCAAATCTTTCTATGCTGGCCTAACAACCTCCTTTGGTGCCATCCCCTCGGAAAGTCAGAAGTCAATAATCACCCGAGATAACCCTCTTTCGACCGCCCACCGCCCACCGCCCCCCTTCCACGCAGGGAAATAGGAAAGGATCGATATCTATTGTCTTGCTGGAAAAGTGGTCTTTTCTTTTCCTCCTCACGCATTGCGACGATTGGATTTCTTCACGATCTTTCTTTCTTTTCTTCTTCTCTTTTTTCCTTTCACCTTATAGGCACGGAAGATGGTAGGGACTCCAACGTCTCCCGCTTCCCCTTCCTTCAGTAATCCTCGGCCCGTGAGCGCTATGATACGACCGGCTCGGAGCTCAAGTCGCCTGAGCATGAGCAGTAAGGCGGGGGGAAGCAGAGCGTCTGATGAGGATGCTAGAACTTCAGTCAAAGTTGGTGAGTTTGGTAGCCTTCTTTAGCTTCAACCCTGTTACCTCCATTCCATGATCTATGTCCAATTAGAGACTATCGCGAGCCTTGGATGGCATCAACCTTATCTCGTGCCTGAGGAGCTTTTATGACGCGATTTTTGGCTTTATATCGAATGCTAACGGCTTTATACAGCTGTGCGCGTGCGACCACCGCTTCGCTCCACCGATCCCGGCTTCGATTTGATACCGCAACGGTTCCAGAGGGGAATGGTACATGTTACGAGCCCGACAAGTCTTGCTGTGGATAGTCCTCAGGGAAGGAAGATATTCGTGTTTGATAGAGTATTCGGACAAGAAGTAGACCAAAATGGTGTTTGGGACTACTTGGAGGAGAGCGTGAACGCGTTCGTTCAAGGTTACAATGTTTCGCTGCTGGCTTATGGTCAGTCAGGCGCTGGAAAATCATACACTATGGGGACTTCGGGTCCTGATGAGCAGAGCAACATTAAAGTTATGGGTATGTTCCTTTTTACTGGGCGACAGTTTTATTTATTTATATATATTTCTCCTTTCTCTTGGAACTGGTCCCTTTTTCCGGAGTGGGGGGTTGTCTAATAATAATGTTTCAGGGGTAATTCCAAGGGCTGCTGCGGCTCTTTTCGAGAGGCTTGGAAGCGGTGCTCCAAACCCTCGAAATTCTACTTCGGGCCTAAGAGCGCCAGTGAGATATTCCACTCCTATATCGCAATTAGCAAAGCCAGCTGTGGATAAGGGCTGGACTATGAAAGCTAGTTACGTTGAGGTGTGTTGCGCAAGAACGGTATTTCTGCCATTAAACACGTGCTGATATCGTCACATATAGATATATAACGAACAATTAAGAGATCTGTTGTTGCCTGAGGGCACGAGGCCAGAAGAACGAGTCCCGATCACCATTCGCGAAGATGCAAAAGGAAGGATCCTTTTGACCGGGCTGCATCAGGTCATTGTGAATACAGTTGACGATTTACTTGGAGCTTTGAACTTTGGGTCTTCCATTCGGCAGACGGACGCAACAGCCATTAACGCGAAGTCTTCTCGTTCACACGCGGTTTTTAGCTTGAATCTTGTGCAACGGAAACCTAAAGGCCCTGCAAGTAAGGATGAGAAGCGGTTTTCGATGCCCACAGAAATGCTCGGACAGGAAGGGTATGTGACGGTTGACAGTAAAATGCACTTTGTCGATTTAGCTGGTAGTGAGCGGTTAAAGGTAGGCTCGCGCATGTCATTTACATTTGGGAGGAAGTCAATTAACAATTGTTGTGTGATAGAATACTCTGGCCCAAGGTGATCGAGCGAAGGAAGGTATATCGATTAATGCAGGTTTGGCAAGTCTGGGGAAAGTCATTTCACAGCTTTCGTCACGCCAGGCCGGATCACATGTCTCGTATCGTGATTCCAAACTTACCCGTCTCCTCCAAGACTCCTTGGGTGGCAATGCGATTACTTATATGATCGCCTGTGTTACTCCAGCCGAATTTCATTTAAGTGAAACATTAAATACCGTACAAGTATGTGTTCCCGCATATTAATATCTTACTTGCACCCTGCTGATACTTATCCCCCCCCCTAGTATGCTCAACGTGCTCGTGCTATCCAAAGCAAACCCAGGATACAGCAAGTTTCGGATGACGGCGACATGAAGGCCCTTGTAGAACGTCTCAGGGCCGAAATTGCTTTTCTTAGAGACCAACTGAAGAATCATTCGGAATCCGGTAGTGGGTCTAGTAGTGGAGGCCAAACCCGTTCAGAGCGATCAAGCGATAAGGAGAGAGAAATGGAGCTCCAAAATCAGCTCTTGGACCTCCAGGAGAATTATGGTGCTTTAAGTCGGCGTCATGCAAAGTTTATATCAGAGATCACTAAGGTCCGGGATACACAGGAACTTTCGGCTCAACCTAATGATTACACAGATAGTGCCGAAGAAAGGCTTGCGAGGTCAAATTCGCTATCAGATGCGGTGGAACAGGTTGTTTTGGGTGAGTGATATATATCTGTCTATTGGTGATGTGCTAACGTTTCAGAATATGAAAAAACCATTCAGAGTCTTGAAACATCGCTTTCTAGCACTCGGGGTTTATTGTCAGCCAATGAGTGTTGCCTTTTGGAGAAGGAGACTAAACTTGCATACATTGAGACGGTTAACCAGCAACTCCATGCACGTGTTCAGAAACTGATGGATCGCGAGTCGAGCACTGAAAATTACCTCCACGATTTAGAGACCAAGTTGGATAGCCACACATCTGGGGAAGAGAGCTCATCAGTCTGGTTGTTATAACTGCGTACAATTTACGGC